TATAATGGAAGTGAATGGGAATCACGGCTTTGAGAGGAAAAAAAAACATACACAAACAAAACCAAATTAAACCCTGTGGCTCGTGACAATACACTGATGTGTAAAGACACGGAACAATCGGTCTGCGCAAGAAACTGAACAGTATTTATATCGTTTTTTACCTCTGATTTACTGCAATGTCCGAACTGTTCAAACTGTCCTGAGCGCGTTTGCGTCTTCTTCTTCAGCCGGCAGGTGACGCGTCGTCTTCTTCTTGCTTTACGGTGGATCGCAGACTTCGTAGTGCATTACCGCCACCTAGCTCTCAAATGGACCATTGACGCTCCTAATTGAGATTGTAGATAGAGTGACAATGGTCCACTTGAGAGATAGGTGGTGGTAATGCACTTATAAGTCTGCGATCCGCCGTAAAGCAAGAAGAAGACGCGTCGAGCGCCGGCTGTTGAGAACGCGCTCGGGACAGTTCAGACATTGCGTGAATCAGATATAAATACTATTCAGTTTCTTGCACAGACCGATCGTTTCGTGTCTTTACACATCAATGTATCGTCACGAGCCGCAGGGTTTAATTTGGTTTTGTTTGTGTATGTTTTTTTTGACTCTCAAAGCCGTGATTGCATCCACTTACATTATATGACTGACAGACTGCAACGATTTGTGTTAAAAATCTTCGTTTGTGTTCTACTGAAGAAACAAAGTCACCTACATCTTGGATGCCCTGGGGGTAAGCAGATAAACATCAAATTTTCATTTTTGGGTGAACTATCCCTTTAATGTTACACTTGTTTAATAAGGTGGCAAATTATAATACCTACAAGGTGATATTGGGGAAAAATCTGTTTATTTGATTCATAAATTCTCATTTTTATTCTCACTTTTACACATGCTATCCTGTTGAGTCTGCGCTATAGTGAAATGTTTAGAGTGCTAAACATTAATAAGTATTAACAAACCTTTCTTATTATATTCCTGTTTCGGAATAGCTCAAATGAAGCTATAATACTGTACAGACAGTAACCTGAGAAGCGACATTGGACAGAGTGGAGAAAAGTGCAGGGAAGGTGAATGTAGGAAACAAGTTATGGCTATGCAAGTGAAGAGAGATTTGTTTAAGGAAGAAGGTGTGGATCGAGATCACTTGTACAAAATATATAGGCAAAGCCAGCTTGTTTTAATGTTCCAAATCTCATGATGAGCACTGATTTTACTGACCATTGAATGAGAAATTAATACAAGAACAGGTGAAATTATGTATTTTATCATCTCTCAGCTAACACTTAATTATATGTATGTGTAAAGTGCTCAGAGATTATAACTGTATTCGTCATGCCACCTGTAATAGCCTACATATGTATACGTATAGGCCTACATTTGAATTAAATTAAAAATAAAATATTACACTAAGCCAAAGAATAGCATTCTATAAACTATATATATATATATATATATATATATATATATATATATATATATATATATATATGAATTAAAAACATACAACTGTCTAAAACAAGAGGCTGCTCTCACAATCAGGTTTTCTTCTTTTTCTTCTTTTTTTTCTTGCTAGGACCCATTTCTCAACACTTAAGTCACTTTTTCAGAACTTCACACAGTGGAATTTTTCAAGCACGGCCAAAACATGTACCTACCTACATGCCAGTTTGCATGTTCTCATTCTCAAACGGCATAATTCAAAACTGAATAAGAGAGTAATTTGCAATATTTCTACAGTAAAACCCCAGTGAAATACATTCTAAACCTAAAACATGAAATACTATCATAGATGTAGCTGAACACCTAGGCTATAATCAATTTCATTGCCATCTACACAAAAGGCGAAACTTAGGAATACTGCAATGTAAAAATGGACCAAGTAACATATACTTAAGTGAATTCTCATCAGTAGAGTGGTCTCATTCTTGTTTTGTAAAGAAATTTTGCAAAAGAAAACACTCTAATGCTACCTGTTGTCGGTATTAGGTCATTATATTTTATGTTGGGAGACAAGCTTTGCTAGTGTTATAGAAGAATGACTTGATTTGAGACTTGTATGAAGTGTTTTGGTAGTTTTAGTGCGCTCTGAACGTGAAATTATCTTCTGTGCCAAGCTGAAAGTTAGGAGAAATGTTGAAAACGTGACCTGTATTGAGAAATGAGTGCTAGCGATTGTAAGCTATGTCAGAGTAGCGCCATCTACTGGATCATTAGATACTCACAATGACAAAACTCACAAACACTGTGCAGTGTATATATTTGAAAACTCCTTGCCTCTCTGTATTAGAAGTGTATTTCCCTGGTTATTGTCAGCATGCTCGTTGCTGCTTTAAGTACTCTACACAACTTCACTACTTGCTTTAAGTAAAATAAATGAGTCACTCTCTCTCACCTCTTTTACATCAGAAGATTTCCACGACAAGAACAGACTTCATAGATCCACTAAAAATCACTTTGGCACCAGGTGGTTAATGACAAAATGGCTCAGAAGGGTTAGTAGACGATGTATTTCCGACACTCTGTTTTATGATATGAAATGTGTATTTATCCAAATACTTTTTGGAGCTGCTGCCCTGTTGAAAAAAACAGCCTATGCTTCATATGTTTTGACGCTGGGATGCTGGTTTAAACTGGTCATTTGCTGGTTTATGCTGGTTCTTTTGCTGGTTTAAGCTGGGCCTTTGTTGGGTTATGCTGGTCCTTTGCTGGTCCTATGCTGGTTCTTTTGCTGGTTTAAGCTGGGCCTTTGTTGGGTTATGCTGGTCCTTTGCTGGTCCTATGCTGGTTCTTTTGCTGGTTTAAGCTGGGCCTTTGTTGGGTTATGCTGGTCCTTTGCTGGTCCTATGCTGGTTCTTTTGCTGGTTTAAGCTGGGCCTTTGTTGGGTTATGCTGGTCCTTTGCTGGTCCTATGCTGGTTCTTTTGCTGGTTTAAGCTGGGCCTTTGTTGGGTTATGCTGGTCCTTTGCTGGTCCTATGCTGGTTCTTTTGCTGGTTTAAGCTGGGCCTTTGTTGGGTTATGCTGGTCCTTTGCTGGTCCTATGCTGGTTCTTTTGCTGGTTTAAGCTGGGCCTTTGTTGGGTTATGCTGGTCCTTTGCTGGTCCTATGCTGGTTCTTTTGCTGGTTTAAGCTGGGCCTTTGTTGGGTTATGCTGGTCCTTTGCTGGTCCTATGCTGGTTCTTTTGCTGGTTTAAGCTGGGCCTTTGTTGGGTTATGCTGGTCCTTTGCTGGTCCTATGCTGGTTCTTTTGCTGGTTTAAGCTGGGCCTTTGTTGGGTTATGCTGGTCCTTTGCTGGTCCTATGCTGGTTCTTTTGCTGGTTTAAGCTGGGCCTTTGTTGGGTTATGCTGGTCCTTTGCTGGTCCTATGCTGGTTCTTTTGCTGGTTTAAGCTGGGCCTTTGTTGGGTTATGCTGGTCCTTTGCTGGTCCTATGCTGGTTCTTTTGCTGGTTTAAGCTGGGCCTTTGTTGGGTTATGCTGGTCCTTTGCTGGTCCTATGCTGGTTCTTTTGCTGGTTTAAGCTGGGCCTTTGTTGGGTTATGCTGGTCCTTTGCTGGTCCTATGCTGGTTCTTTTGCTGGTTTAAGCTGGGCCTTTGTTGGGTTATGCTGGTCCTTTGCTGGTCCTATGCTGGTTCTTTTGCTGGTTTAAGCTGGGCCTTTGTTGGGTTATGCTGGTCCTTTGCTGGTCCTATGCTGGTTCTTTTGCTGGTTTAAGCTGGGCCTTTGTTGGGTTATGCTGGTCCTTTGCTGGTCCTATGCTGGTTCTTTTGCTGGTTTATGCTGGTTCTTTTGCTGGTTTATGCTGGTCCTTTTGCTCGTTTATGCTGGTTCTTTTGCTGGTTTATGCTGGCCCTTTTGCTCGTTTATGCTGGTTCTTTGCTGGTTTATGCTGGCCCTTTTGCTCGTTTATGCTGGGTCTTTGCTGGTTTAAACTGGTCCTTTGCTGGTTTATGCTGGCCCTTTGCTGGTTTATGCTGGTTCTTTTGCTGGTTTAAACTGGTCCTTTTGCTGGTTTAAACTAGTCCTTTTGCTGGTT